GAAACTCCGATGGATCCTTACGGTTCCGCGTGGACTTTCACCGATTAAATAAGGTTACCTTGGCAGATGCCTATCCGTTGCCACGAATCGACGATTCTTTGGATGCACTGGGGGAGCCAAATGATTTTCTACTCTGGATTTATAGTCAGGATTCTGGCAGCTACGTTTGGACGAGGACTTCAGGCACAAAATCGCATTCAGAACACCTCAAGGCCTCTTTCATTTCAACTGTTTGCTGATAGCTCTTCAGTCAGCACCAGCCACTTTTTAACAGTTGATGGAGTTGGTCCTGACAGGTCTTCAATGGGACGTCTGTTTTGATTTACTTGGACGACGTCATCGTCTTTGGTCGCTCTTTTGAGGAACATTTACAGCGGTTGGCACTGGTCTTTTCACGCATTCAGGGGTCGTGCCTGAAGCGCAAACTGTCCAAGTGCCATCTAGCACAGGCCTCTGTAAAGTATTTGGTGCATTCTTAATTTTGGAGCTTTCGTGACTGCAGGAATTATTCTTTGTTTTTTTCGGTAAAGTCACGTATAAAGATAAAATAATAAATTAAATAATAGCATACGACGTTTCGATTGCAACACAAGCAATCATCATCAGGTATAATGAAATAGCGACATAAAATCTAACCAGAAAACTATAGACAGACATATAAGCAGACAGATATCACCAAGATACATAGAGAGAGCACCCCAGGTACAGAGAGGGGTGATCGTCTCTGTGGGGTGGCCTTAAATAGACAGAGGGGGGCGGAGGCAGAGGGAGGGAGGGGGTAGGAAAAAAATTTACATGTCAATGAGTATGAAGGGAGGGGAGTAAGGTAAGCAGGCTTAGAGGGAGACAGAACACACTAAATTAAATAACCTAGCAAAGTATCGAAATGTTATGTAAAACGACACAGAGAGTCGGTCAACACACAATTAACGCATAGCCTGGTCGATTACGTATTTCAAAGATTGCTAAGTTAGAATTTAAGTGTGAAAATTCCAAAGAAAGACAAAACATAAAAAACAAGAGGAACGGAGACACACAGACAGAGCAATCGAAACGTCGTATGCTATTATTTAATTTATTATTTTATCTTTATACGTGACTTTACCGAAAAAAACAAAGAATAATTCCTGCAGTCACGAAAGCTCCAAAATTAAGATTGAACCACTTCTACGGGGAAGTTCCAAGTTTACCTTTTTCTCTCTCTCTGGGTTTTTGTTCTCTCTCTCTGCCTGTATATTTAGTGTAATTTTTTCTGTCTACACTCGTTTTTTATCGTTCTTAGGTTCTGCTCTGTCTGTATGTCTCCGTTCCTCTTGTTTTTATGTTTTGTCTTTCTTTGGAATTTTCACACTTAAATCCTAACTTAGCAATCTTTGAAATACGTAATCGACCAGGCTATGCGTTAATTGTGTGTTGACCGACTCTCTGTGTCGTTTTACATAACATTTCGATATTTTGCTAGGTTATTTAATTTAGTGTGTTCTGTCTCCCTCGAAGCCTGCTTACCTTACTCCCCTCCCTTCATACTCATTGACATGTAAATTTTTTTCCTACCCCCTCCCTCCCTCTGCCTCCGCCCCCCTCTGTCTATTTAAGGCCACCCCACAGAGACGATCACCCCTCTCTGTACCTGGGTTGCTCTCTCTATGTATCTTGGTGATATCTGTCTGCTTATATGTCTGTCTATAGTTTTCTGGTTAGATTCTATGTCGCTATTTCATTATACCTGATGATGATTGCTTGTGTTGCAATCGAAACGTCGTATGCTATTATTTAATTTATTATTTTATCTTTATACGTGACTTTACCGAAAAAACCAAAGAATATTTGATGCATGTTGTCAGCACGGCAGGGGTGGCCACAAACCCTGGTAAGACTCGCTGTTTACTTGATACAGCGAACGTGCTGTGACGGTTCCACCTGAAGACGGAGGCTTGTGTTGCCTCCGAAACGTCGTGATTTTAATTTATTTTTTTATTTTACTTTTATTAATTTTAATTTTTTACCTACGTGACTTTACCGAAAAAAACCCAAGAATATGAATAAGACTCGCCGTGTTTGCGACTCGCCCACACCCGTCTCGGTGTTGAATGTCCAGAGGCTTGTTGGATTCGTGTCATACTATCGCCATTTTGTACAAGATTTTGCCACCATTGCGAAGCCACTCCATGCACTTACTGCCAAGGGTCATAAGTTCCACTGGGGTCCTAAGGAGAATTTGGCCTTTAGGAAGTTGCGAGGGTTTCTTTCGGATGTCCGCCACTGGCTTACCCTGATTTTTTCGTTGCCTTTTATATTGGACACGGATGCCAGCGATGTGGGGTGTCGGGGGCATGTTATCGCAGGCTCAGTCTGGCTGGGAAGTCGTGATCGCCTATGGTAGTCGGGTGTTGTAGCTGGCTGAACAGCGGTACTGCATCATGTTACGAGAACTCCTGGAAGTCGTACATTTTGTCATTCAATTCCGCCCTTATACGGCCGGCCATTTTGTGGTGAGGACTGATCATGCGGCGCTGCAGTTTTCATTGCACATTGAACATCCTTCAGGCCAGATGGCCAGATAGATTGAGCGCCTGCAGGAATTATTTTATGACGTGGTCCACAAGAAAGGGGTGCGCCACGCCAACGCGAACGTGAATGCCTTCATGATAAACGTTTTTGGAAAAGATTACGTTATTTATAAGTGTGTCGTAACCCTCCACCACCCGACACGGCCAATCAGTAAAAAAGTGTCACGTTGACAAAAGACAAATAGTTCACTACTTTAGCCCACCAGTGTGTTGAAGAGTGAATCCACAACATCGAATGCCTTGTTGCACCTGCCAGCTGGGATGGCTTGCGCTTTCTCCGGGGGGTCTGCTAGGTGCAGGCCTATTCCGACCGAGATGCTGAGCCTCATGGTCGCCGATCTACATGCATGCAGGCTCCTCCGAGGCTACACTGCCGGAATGGGATATAGGGCTTTGCCTGGAGGATTGATTGCATTTGCAAACGGACGAAACATTCATGTCGTTTCGTGCCCGGGCTCACCCTCACGCTCCCACAAGTCGAGATCTTGTTGTGACATCGTTTACTAATGTTGGGGGACTGCTTACGCGGTGGGAACTGGACACCCAGTGTCATTGTCTGGTTGTTCCTACTCCTGTGCGGGAACGGCTGGTGACGGAGGTTCATGGTCGCCGTCTCCTGCGCTTGGGTGAACACAAGACGCTCTCCACACTTAGAAGTCGCTACTTCTGGCCAGGCATGGCAGCAGATGTACGCACATGGATAGCCACGTGTGCTGAATGTGCACGCCGCAAAGCCCCCTGCACGCCCGGTGACAGTGCCATGGCCATCCATCACCATCTCCCAGGTGAATGAGCTGGTGACTCTCGACATTTTAGGATCTTTCCCTCGCACTGCTCGTGGTCGTACATTTTTGCTTGTGGGTGTTGAGGTATTTCACCCGATGGCATTATGGCGTGGCCCCTCGCCGATCAGACGGCTCAGTCCATTGCGGAGGTTTTCTTACAGGGGCACGTTATGGACAAGGGTGTCCCGGAGAAATTGCTCACGGATCAGGGCCGCAATATTTCTCCTCTAAACTTGTGCAGGAGCTGTGCGACATTTTGGGTACGAAGAAGTTGCGCCCATCACCGTACTACCCACAGACTGATGGGATGGTGGGACGCCGAAACCGCACCATCACCGCGATGCTGAGCCAGATCGTCGATAAGTCACAGACCGATTGAGACCTGCTGTTGACATCCTGTACAGGCCGCCATTCGTGCGTTGTGTCACCCTGGCTCTCTTGTTTTTTTTCCATCCCTCGACCCTATTACACTGTGGGTGTATTGCTGCCTGCAGGATTGTCATTTTTGTTTCCATTTCAGGGGTGTGTATGCTTATGTCGTTCCCCCCTTTCCCCAGTCGTTGTGTTACTCAAGGCGGGTTTTCATTTGGGGGTGGGGGGGGGTATTGCAGGTGTGCGTCTGCACGCTGAGGTGGGACACGCACGCACATACGAGAGCGATGGGTTCAGGGATGACTCCTGCCGGCACTTTATTGGGACAAAATGATGTGGTGTATCTGGGCATTGTGCTCGCACGGGCACTGTGCAGCGGGGTTCCGTCGAGGACGACTTTTTATGGGGGGAGGGGGGGTAATGTAGGATACTCAGGGCAGCAACGCGTAGCAGGACCTCCCTCACCGCTCTCATATTGGAGGACGAGCCGCTGACACCCCATGATGCACGGGAGGAAAGGCCCTTTGGGGGGACATGGTTGTAGGGAGAGACATCGCAATCGGGTAGCCGATACCCGTACCCTACCCGATACCCGGCTACCCGTACCCGCCCGGGTACGGGTACCCGTTTGCGACCCTGGTGCGGTCGGGTACGGGTACGGGTAGGCCGTGAGTCACTGGTGAGTCACCGTTTGTCACTCATTTCCCAACGTCTTGTTTCTTCTCACAATTCAAGTTCCTAGAATCAACCCACCCGCGCCTGTAACATGGCTTCATCCCAGAGGTCGCAATCGGGTACCCGATACCCGTACCCTACCCAATACCCGGCCGGGTACAAGTAGCCGGGTATCGGGTAGGGTACGGGTATCGGGTACCCGATTGCGACCCTGGTGCGGCTGGGTACGGGTACGGGTAAGGAATCAAAACCCGTTTGCGACCTCTGTTGTAGGGGAGAAAAAAGAGCGGGAGTCGCGCAGGCGGAGAGGGTTGTAGATGGATTTGTAAGGGGAGCTGGAGAAGAGAAATAAAGAGGGTTGATAGTTACCTGTCTCCCTCGTGGATTTCATTACACAAGTCACAGTTTTTGTCAGGTGCCTGATAATGCATCACTCAAGGCAATACATTTGCATGCATTCATATGTAATTCCCCCCCCCACCCACCCCTCTTCCAATATGTGAGATATTCTTATTCACCATCATATGCCCAAGTTGTTTGTACCTAAAGTCGCTCACAAGCAACCACCAGCTCTGTTCACGGGTGACTATGAGAGGAAGTCAATGATGACACAAACATCTGGTACATACAAAACATCATGGAATGGCCTTCACACAGCAACGGCGTGTTGTGCCGAGATTCCCACCACGATGACTACAATCAAAGGCTGGTCTCTCACGAGTTATTTCAACTTCAGTACACAAGCCAACTAACGATTTACACATCCCAATCCTAATCTAAGCTTCCAATTCTAAGCCATCATCCTAATTGCTCTTCCGTAGTCCCAAGAGTAATGCGCGTCGCTTGAGTTGCATTTCAAAGCTACTTAATTTGAGTGCAATTGTCTCTAACGCCAAGCTTACAAAAAACATAAATTGTGAATTGCCTGCTGCTGCTCATGAGCCAACAGGCTGATGGGACAGAGAGATCCTGTGACTACAAAGACGTGGGCTTGTGTATAAGACATTCACCACTTAAGAAACATTTTCTCCTTTTCAAATGGTCCACTCACAAAATAAACTCTAAACAGTGATATTGATTCTTGCACATGAGTCCTGTGAAATCAAACACAGTGACAGCTCGAGGAAGCCCTACAGTCTACAAACTCCAAGGCAGACATCACAAACTACATTAACACAGACCAGCAGTTCCCAGTCTCTGGTCCGTGGGCCACTGTCCATCTGCAAGGCCGTGGGTACACTTGCCAGTGGAACTGTTGCAGATCCGTACTAACGTTTTTTTTTAACAAAAAATTACTGACTGCCCATTGCACAATTATTTAGAAGATTGAATTAATAGCAAGTTAATGTTTTTTTATTGCTTTTTAATGAACAGGGTTGTATTGAATGTTATGGCGGACTGCTATTCCCACGTGGTGGTCAACGAAGATGTCTTGATTGGACTGTGGTCGGCGGGGCCAGAACGGTTGGGAACCACTGACTTATACAATTTACATTTCTAATGAGATTAGATATGAACATCAGTTTACATTATTGATGCTTACTTGTAATTATTATTCGGCATGCATATATCATTACTACGAACGTCTCGCCAGTCGCTTATATATTAGAATTTACCAACGCAAAACGATTTAAAGTATACAGCAAAAAAAGCAAGATGGCAGAAAGTTACAGGATTAAGTTAAGTGGCTTTCACCTGGCAATTAACTCATTCCAAGCTTTTCAAGTGATTGCATTGCGTTAAAGTGCTTATGAGCATCAACAAAAGCTCTCGGGAAAGCCGAGAAACACAGGACTTGCAAAGCAATTCATAGTGCGGTAATCATTTCATAATTGAAACTAATTCAAACAAGGCCATGTCGGTATCTGAGACGATAGATTATAAACACATACAAATTGCATACCATTCGAGATTTCAAAAAACAAACAAACGTCGGAAATATTTTCACATATGTGTTAAGCATTCGGAAAAAAGCAATGTATGTATAAAGATAAGTATAAAAGTAAACAAAAGATATGAAAATACTGCCAATGCATTTCAAAAAGGTAAATAACCCCCACCCAAAAACAAAACATGGAAAAAAATGTATAGTACACAGAGGCTACATGAATTTAGACAAAAGGGTTGAACATTTCCAACCAATGGCCACGTGGCCTTCACACATCGGTGGGCTTGCACTGATGCTCAAAGCTGTTGGCCACATATGTGTGTGTGCGCGTGTTGTCGCTCTTGCTCATGGAGCCTGGTGCGTGGACGGGCGTGCTCGGTGCGCTCCTCCTCAGCGACTGGACGATTGACATCCTGGCGGCAGAGTGCTCCGGAGAGTGGGCCTTGCCAGAGTGCGAGTCGTCGACGTCGGTCTCGCGGTGGTAGAAGTAGTTGAAGTTGGACACGATGACGGGCACGGGCAGCGCGATGGTGAGCACGCCGGCGATGGCGCACAGCGACCCCACCGCCTTGCCACCCACCGTCACGGGTACCTTGTCACCGTAGCCAACCGTCGTCATGGTGACCACGGCCCACCAGAACGCGTGCGGGATGCTCGTGAAGTACGTTTTAGGCTCGTCTACCTCGGCGAAGTAGGCGGCGCTCGAGAAGAGGATGACGCCGATGAAGAGGAAGAAGATGAGCAGCCCCAGCTCGCGCATGCTCGCCTTGAGGGTCTGGCCCAGGATCTGGAGGCCCTTGGAGTGGCGCGAGAGCTTGAAGATCCGGAATACGCGCACCAGGCGGATGACGCGCAGGATGGCGAGCGACATGGTCTGCTGACCGTTGCCCTGCTGCTCGGCCAGCTCCATTCCGAGCGTGATGAAGTACGGCATGATGGCCACCACGTCGATGCTGTTCATGATGTTTTGGAAGAACGCAGTTTTGCTAGGGCACGAGAGGAATCGTGCGACGAGCTCGAAGGAAAACCACACGATACAAAGGGTTTCCACCAGAAAAAATGGATCTGTGGCAAAACTGGCGGTTGAAGAAATTTCGGTGGCATTGAACTGCTCTTCTTGATCAACATGGTCTCGGAATTGCGGCAGCGTTTCCATGCAGAAGATGAAAATTGACACTAAGATGACGACAACGGAGAGAATCGCGACGAGGTGGGCCGCACTCGAGCTCTCGGGGTACTCGAAGAGCAGCCAGACCTGGCGCTTGAGCTCCGACTCGGGCAGCGGCCTCTCCTCCTCGCGGATGTAGCCCTCATCCTCGCGGAAGCGCTGGATCGTCTCCTCGCCCAGCTCGAAGAAGCGGATCTCCTCGGAGAACAAGTCGAAGGGGATGTTGGCGGGCCTGCGCAGCCGCCCGCCCGACTGGTAGTAGTAGAGGATGGCGTCGAAGCTGGGCCGGTTGCGGTCGAAGAAGTACTCGTTGCGCAGGGGGTCGAAGTGCTGGGCGCGTCGCGCCGGGTCGCCCAGCAGGGTGTCGGGGAACTGGGCGAGGGTCCGCGCGCACGTCTCGAACTTCATGCCGGCCACGTTGATGACCACGCGCTCGTTGCTGTCGAGGAGGTGCGCACGTATGTCCTCTCGCGTGACGGCGCGCACGCAGTCACGCGTCTCGTTCGTCGGGTTGTAGAGGCTGCCCGTGCTGCCATGGCCCGTGATGCTGTTGTTGGCGCTGGCGATGGTCATGGCTGGACAGTGCCTGGGAGTTTATGTAGAGATCTGCGAGTGAAAGAGAGAGAGAGAGTATGAAGCGGAGTACGTACTTGTTGAAGATATTTAATAATTATTATTAATAATGATTATTAATAATTATCATTATCAGGTGGGTTGTTGCACTGTTGTATTGCAGGATCATGAGGTCTTAAAATGCAGCAATCCATCTGGATCTTGCACGCAGGCTAATATCTCCGTGGTTCTAATCCTCTCAGGTAGTGAGATTGACTTTCCCAAAAATCTGGAAGGGCTAAGTCTCCATTCGTTTTTAGGATAGGTTAGGTAATTGGTTTTAAGTCGAGAGAGTCATTCAAATTTTGGCTTTTTTTTCAAGATATCATCGGGAATGTTGATGTGGAGAAGAAAAATAAAAGTAGTTTTGGGAGCAACACCATTGTTCCTTTGCTCACTCAACCCAAAAGTGAAATTAGAGTATTCCTGGTGCTGAAAGCCTGAATGGAATTATTCCGATACACTTGGGTTCGATTATTTGTCATATATACGCCCCCAGGTTTTTTTTTAATACGAACCCAAACCGAACAGTCCTTTGAGAGGTATACATGTGAACCAAAATGCTCAGCGAACCAAAGTATCATGTTTTCGAGTATGAGACCTATAAGGTGAAATTTGTATCTGCCCCCCCGCCCACCCACCGTGGATGCCCCCAGATAGTTCAAGATGTCTGATCGCCCGGTAAAGGGACACAACCACTGGGTCAAAGTCATGGAGAATTGAGGTTAAGCGGCCTTATCTTCGAAGAGTTTGAACGTATTTTGCGTGAAACGTTCCCCTAACCCAGTGCTTCTCAACCTTTTTTCATTCCATGGCACCTTTTTCTGGGCTTGCTCTATCTCTCAGCTCTGCACTGCTATGAAGAAGGGCCTTTGTCCAAAAACATTGCCTATTGTATATATTTGGTTCTCTTAAGACAGTGTCATTGACGAAGGTGTTGGGAGTGTGTCGATGTTTGTCTGAACAGCTATGCGTTTAAAGCAGTGGTTCTCAATATTTTTTTGGCAACTTGTTGAATTTCGTTTCAATTGAGTAGCCCCTTGCCTGACCTAACACGGTTTTTAGAAATAAATGTATGAGTAATGAGCATATTTTAACCAATTATCCATCTTGCGAGGTATCCTAACGAGTGAGTGAGCTAATGGGATAGTGGCGCAGCTTTTCGGCAATGCGAAAGCAATTGGAATGTCGAAAACAAGAACGCACGGTTAAACAACCGCAGAAGATACACTCTCCACCAGTGTCAAAAGCTCTCCTCTGTCTGCAGCTGTACTTCCGGAAGAAATAGATGCCGCACTGATGGTAAAAAAGGCAGATAAAGCCGCAGGAATAGATGGGATTTACCTGGAATTCCTTAAACACCTTTGGCAGCAGAGGAAGAACCTGGCTGATTAAACTTTTTTCTTTTTTCAAAAATCATCGCCACCAGCAAGCTACCAAGACTTTAGAAAAAAGTAAAAGTCATTGCTCTCCTCAAGCCAGGAAAACCGGATGATGACTTACACAGCTAAAGGCCAACCTTTCTTATCTGTACAGCCTAATCCTTTCTTGGAAGCCACCATACCACTTGAGCAGGCAAGTTTTCAGCCACAACGAAGCAGTTGTGACCAGGTCCTCGCCTTGACATCACACATCGAGGCAGCTTTAAGCATAAACAGAAAACAGCGGCTGCTTTAATAGACTTGTCCTCTGCAATAGGACACGGTCTGTCGCCGAGGACTTCTCTTTAAACTCGCCAACACCATCAAGTGTGAAAAAACGGTTTGCCTCATCGCCAGTAGGCTCAGCAACAAACAATTTCGCGTCCATCTTGGAAACAAGATCAGCCGCCCACGAACTCTATAAAATGGCCGACCGCACCAGCCCTGTTTAATATTTACACCAGCGACATGCCGGCTACATTAAGCTGCAAGTTCATTTACGCAGACGATCCAGCACTGGCCGGCCAAGCAACGGCACTCAGCGCAGCTCAAGAATATTAAACACCGACTTAAAGAAATTGGAAAATGATTTCTACTCCCGGCGACTTTAGCCAAAACCAACCAAGACAGTGACCTCAGCGTTCCATCTCACGAACGCGGAGGCAAAAAGTATGCTGAAGATCGAGTTTAGTTGTAAAACCATCACCCGCGACCCACTCCCGAAATACCTTGAAGTGGTGCTCAATCAAAGTCTCACTTTCAGGCAGCACATTGAGCAAAGAACAAGATAAAATCCGCACAAACATCCATAAACTGGCGGGAACTAGTTGGGGCTGTGATGTTCGAACACTACGGACTGCCTCGTTTGCCCTCGTATATTCGACGGAGAGTATTGCTCATCTGTTTGGAGATGCAGCGCTCACACTCGAGTTATCGACACACAACTGAACATTGTAATGCGTGTCATCTCAGGTCCGCTGAAGTCGACGCCAACCCAGTGGCTCCCAGTGCTCACCCACATCGCTCCGCGGCAAAGCCGTCGTGAAACAGCGGCCGTCCGGGATGACCAAAAAATTATTGTCAACCCCCGCAACCTTCCGATACATCGGGACATAAACCCAGCGCTGCCTATTTGCCTAAAATCACGCCACCCCTTCTGGATCACAGCAGCCTCAGTCCACGCCACAAATACAAATGAAGACGCGAGATGAAAGCAAGTCTGGTCTGCGGCCGATATCCAAAGTAAACATCTCATACAGGACCCCTTCCGTCGAACCTGCCGGTTTCAACCTTTCACCTCGCCAATGGTCGACTATATCAACCGAATCAGCACCGATGCGGCCACCTGCGCATCGAATATTGCGGCCATGAATCCAAAACGATCAACCACATTGTAAACACGCTGCTGCTGCTGCTTCTGTCTGCACTCCTTTGGAGGAGGAATGGGCGAGATCCACTCTGCTTCTGAACAGACAATTAAGAGGACAACAAATCTACAATTGCATCTTTAATCTGCTGGTATTTATCCACACGAAAGACGACGAGTGAGTTAACTGCATGCGAATAAAAACTAATTTAATGGACGCACTGCACGCATGACGTAATTTGTTCATGCTAGCTGGTTACTCTCGGAAACCAGCATTGTTTATGATCAATGAGTTTAGAAAGGTCTTTTGTATCGTTCTAGGTTACTATATCGATTTAAATTTGATCGTAGTTATTTTATATTCGCAGATTCATACGTAATTATTCACTCATGACTAATTTATGGTCTAATTCCACGCATAAAAAAAATCACCTCACGTACCCGCTGGGATCGAAGTAGCCCCTGTTGAGAACCACTGGTTTAATTGTCCATTATACCACTTCCTGACTGTTGGGAGACAAAAGATGAATGTAAGACTTGTCCTCTACACAACCTACAGATGTTGAATGCCTCGGTGATCATCAAATGTATCTCCTGGAGGAACACCAAGTCTGGTTGAAATAGATTAATATTAGTAAGTGCGCTGCCTTTGGATGGGGATGATTTAAGTCACGGACGTTATAGGAGACAAGGTTAACCTGTTTAAGGCTTGGAGGAGCTCCGTCTGTGAGGGCAGTGAGGTGATTGATAACGCTGACAAGAGTAAACAAAAGATTGGGGTATTACCCAATTTATCCCGTCGTTCTACCCAGCATCAGGGGTCAATTATCTGGAGTAGTTTCGTAATGTTTCAGATCTATACCGAATACCGGTCAGTAATATGTCGTACATCGGAGTTGCCTTCATAAAACCCCTGTACTTACTTACACCTTGCACTTCAGATGGGGCGAGAGTGACATCACAATTTACATCGTGCTCAGTATCGACCGCTAGAGAACAACGTAATCCGTAGAAATACTCCAGTGTAGCTAAAACACGCCGAAAACACTCTGCTGGGGGGATAATTTATAATCCATTAATCATTGTTTGGGTTTGCGTAAATTTTTTTACTCCCGCACTATTTGTAAACAAGCACAATTTTGCGTGATCCAGGCATCAAAAATAATCCTGTTGTGTGTTTAAAAAAAATGTCTTAACCATTCACAGTTAAAGTTTTTACACTTAAGACAACCCCCTTCCTTTCTACTCCCTTCCCTTTAATATTGTCCTGAGAATAGATACGTGCCCACTATCCTCTTCTAGAATAACTACCTGGCCACCATAGCCCGTGACAGACTGTTGGGGCAAGTGCTGTTAGCGAGCAGCACCTATGCAGTCCGGCATGGCACACACGGGGGTGGGTGGCCAGCACAACGCCCGGGTCGCTTTTGTCTCCCCAGTGGCGATGTTTATACACACCATGTACTGATTTGAGGCTGAGTCGACCTAGGGGAGGCCCAGGAATGGTTCAGATAATCGTCACTGGTGTTGGCCGTGAGCGGGAATCGAACTCGGGTAGCAGGGTTCGTAGTGCAGCGTAGCGCTAACCACTGCTCCACCGCTCTTTACCAAGGAACCTAAACCACTCCAGCACATTCCCTTGATCCTATAATGTTCTATATTAAAACGACACGTGCGAAGAGTGGGTGTTCACACAAAAACATGGAGATCCACGTGTGAGTTATTGCAGGGAGGTACAGTTACACACGTACACATATATCTCCAGAGATGAATGTCTATTGGAATCTATCTTTATGCAGTATATATAGAGTACAGTGTACATGCGGTATCTCTGTTACACATCAAATCGTTCCATGTTAACGGCCGCTTATATTGCATATTGCCCTCGAGGCATCCCCATTCCATTTGCTGTAGAAACAAGTCCTCAGACTCCCTTCTTTGCTTGAATGAAGGTCATTTGTCTTAGACGATGCTTTTAATGGTCTCTCTTGGTGACGATGGCCCCACGGTGGCGAGATGTTAACTACTTGGTCTGGTATGCAGGAGGTCGTGGGTTCAATTCCCACCCTAACACCTGTTGTATATTCGGAGTTTGCGTGTCTCTCTTTCCCTGTGGTCGCGTGTGTTTTTCTCAGGGTCCTCCGGTTTTTCCCTCCGTATTTAGAATCACCATGCCAGGTGGCTTCTGAAAAAGAGCTATAATGATC